CTGTTTTTTATTGTCTGTTTAAATTTGAATTGTTTGCTGTGAAAGTGGAGAATAAAGCTTTGACTATATATGATATACACATAAATATAATATAACTGTTTTCACTACTGAGAAAGTCATGTCACCTACATAGAAAACCGACATGGTTGTAGAAGTAAAGGCATCTTTGATAAAGACATTACATTTGATTTTATCACATTCTCAGACATTGTACAGATATTTAGCTGAACACTTTTTGTGCTTCATCTCTTGCTTTTTAAGGCGTACTCTGCCCTTGGACGCTCTGTTTGCACACTAGATCATGCTTACTTCCAGCAACAGACAGGCCTAAATATTCATGAACTGATGGCTCAGTGTGTTAGAAGGTAGGACACAGTTGGTTCAGTGGCAGGCTGGAGAAAGTCTTGTGTAGTGTGTGTCACTGGGTTCATTACCTATTGATTTTGCTTTTACTGTGAAATGATATGGCACCGATAAACTATTTTCTTCTCGTTTTGCATCAGGTTGTGTGTGTGATAAATCGGATATACGCAGGCCTCTTGTCGGGAAAGATGACTGTACTGGGGACATAGAGGTATAGAGGCCTCATTCACTAAGCAACAGGGACACCAACATGTGGTGTAAGCTATGTTGGCGAAAAATGGGATTCCTCAATATTATGAACCTGCTCTATGTGAGAGAATTAAAACTAAGACACCTTGTTCTAGGAAGGACAGTTGGACAGACATGGGTAAACACTGGTTAATAAAATTTCAGCTAAAGGAGCACATGGCATTTCTGTACAGAGTTAAGTGTTTGTGCATGTAGAGTTGTGGCAGTTTCTTTGGTTTTCCTCAGCTCTTCCTGCAGTGACACTAGGTGTTCTCTCTTTCCCACACCTGCTGGTCCACACTGTCATGGAGCTGCCTCTCTCCACTTATTGACCTTCTGAAGGATCTGAACATCAGCGGCATGTTAAGTGATGGTGTGAAGGGGCTGTTAGTCATGTTCCCTCAACAACAACACACAGATACACATACCATTGTCCCTCTGCAGGCAGTGACACCAATCTCTGCTTGAACAGCCAACCTGCTGGGTGAAAGCGGTGAATATCGAACTGCTGTGACATGCAGCCACATGCTGTGTTACTGTGTGTATGTGCAGGTTATTAGAGAGGGTGTGTGATCAGCCCGTCCACTCTCATCTCCAGATCAATAGTGTTCTCTTGACTAGAGCCCAGGATAAGTGAGAACCTAATTCTAGCCTGTGCTGGCATAGCATTACTGAAGCACCTCTGACTAGCTCTCGGGTGATGAACAGGCTTCACTAAAGATATAACCAAAGTTAGAAGTAAGACTCTTCTTCAGGAGGTTTCACCTAGTACTACAGTACTTTTGTCGTGGAAAGATAATTTGCCCAAAAGATAACACACACACACACACACACACACACACACACACACTAAGAGCATTCACACTGTTCAGAGCTGTAGCCTACAAAGTCAAGTGTGTGCGCGTGTGTGTGTGCGTGCGTGCGTGTATGTGTGTGTGTGTGTGTGTGTGTGTGTGTGTACATGCACCAAAGGGAAGAAGAAGAGGGCACAGCTTAATGGGCTGTCACATCCCTCACTGCTCAGCTCAACACACTGACCCACTTTGGCTCCCTGACTTTGGTGCATCTGCGGCATGCTTTTCAAATGCATCAAGCCACGCTGCTGCTGGGCAAAAACACAGAGCATGTGTCAGTACAGTGCAAGCATTATACAGACAATGAGAAAGAGGAGGTACTGTAAGTTTTATCATTTTAGAGCACAATGGAGGAAAAGAAGAAATGGATTTTTTTCCTACTGATGTTACTGCTGTAAAAGATTGTGCTGTGAAAAGGCCAGCTCTCTGTTGATATTTATAAGTTCTATGAGTCTTGCTATTAGCATGTGAGGAACATTTGTGGTGCTTTCACACAAACTTTAAAAAACAGATTGAGAAGCAAGGCACACGGGGCTGCTAGGTGTCAAAGACAGGCCTGCAGAGCTGCAGGCAGCGACTGGTATGTTTGTCAAAGCTGTTGAAGTCACACAAGGCTCTATTACTGCTGAATGCTACAGAAATCGCACGTCTGATCCTTTATTCACAGTCTCACAGCGTGTGACGTTTCCCTGATCACACTTGAGGTACAGTTCTGTAAAGGGACACACAAACCTGGTCCCTCCATCATATACACACATACTCAACACACTAATCCTTTATGTTTGTGTGTGCCTATGGTAGCTTTCGCCTCATGTTGGGACAGACATGGAGCAGTGAGTAAACATGTACATGAAAAACAGCAAATATTCACTTAGGAAGCTGGTGCTGTCAAATGTTTGGCAGTTTTGCTTAGAAAATGACTTAAACCACTTCACACATGAGAAACAACAGCATAAAATCTTTACAAATGAGAAAGTGGAATAAGACGATGTTTGGTATTTTTGCTTGAAAATTCACTTCAACAATTAATTGATAATCAAAATAGTTGCTGTTTAATTTTCTGCCGGTTGACCAATTGATTTATTGACAAATTTTTTGCTGCTCTAAGTATTATTGCTCTCTCTCATATATTCATATATGCAGTGTGTATGCTTAGATATGAGGTAAAATGAGGTTGAGGTGAGGAGGGAACGGGCAGGAGATGAGCAGCGCAAGCAGGACAGAGGAGGACATGCCAAATGGAGGTGGTGCAGACCTGTTTTCAGGGCCACTGGAGACAGGAATGTAAAGGGTCAGTGCAGGATGTGGAATGTGTTGTCACATGCACAAATATGCCGGCATGTGCATGACGACACACAGAAGCACTTGCTTGTACGCATTGTGCCCTTCAGTAACGAAGCCTGCTAGGCTGCCAGCGCCTTTGTGTTTGAACTGCAGCATGTGAATGTCAAAAAGCAGGAAACGCGGCTAGAAGGAGGGAGAGGCAGCCGATTGAGAGAGGCCTAATTCAACAGCACCTGCTACGTTGTGTAATGAGTCGCATTTAGCTTAACGACACATCCTCTGCTACAAGCTCCAACATGACTCTTTCCACTTTCTGTCACTCCTCCACTGTTATTCTCTGCTTCCTCCTCTAATCCCTGTCATGTCATCATGAAGTATTATCCTGCTGAAGTCAAAACATTGTAAGCCCACACTAACATTCCCAGCATTCCCAAAAATACACCTATACCTTATCACTGTTGGCATGATATTCCCCTGACTTGAACCTCAGGAAGCAGAGCATGATGAGTCCACCACGTGGAATAATGTCACCAGACACAACACATTTCCACTCAGCTCACTGTCAGAGGTGCGTGGTTGTGGCCTAGAGCAGAGAATGGTTGCTCTGATTCGTTAGGATTGGATAGGGAGGATGTTTTTAAAGTAGCATAGCTGGATGTGTGGGCGTCGTAAGGAGCTGTAAAGTTGGATGTGAACTGGTCAGGGATGGTTGGAATCATGACCAACAAGGAAGCTCAGACAGAGCAAACTGACTGACAGCAGTCAAGCTGTTGCCAGGGAGAGTTTACTCTGCTAAGCGTATAGGCAGCTCAATACCCTGCTACATGACATGAGAGTGACACATGGACTATAGATGTTAGCAAAGTCTCTGTCAAGTTTGAGTACAAAGAGATGTTATTTCTATTTTCTGAGGACAAAAGTGTTGTGCGCGTCAGGCCTGTTGAGACACTGAACGGAACCTCTGGGACAGAGTTTTCTGGTCAAATGTGTGAGCAAAGGTTTAAAGTTAACTTTGGTTAGTGGACATCTTAATCTGTTGTTTGTTCTGCTGGTGAGCTTTGTACCCCTATCCAGTGTGATAACAACTTGGAGGGGATGAGAAGATCTTAGCCCTTACCTACTGGCTAAAGGCCAACTACTGTCTGCCAGCATGCAACATTTGTCCACAGCCTATTTGAGTGCCATACAGTCCAACACACAGGCCTAATCTCCTAGAGTAGTGAGACACCTACTGGCTAATGTTAGTCATATTTGAAGTGTGGAGGCACTGAGCAAGATAAGATTTAGGTTTGACGCATGAGGTTGGTGCAAAGACTCTGGAGCACATTGGAATCACGTACTGTCAAATCTCGAGTGACTCACTGCTTCCTACGAATGAATAAATGTGTGGTACATTACTGTGAAACACAAAAACGGCACACTGTTTCCTGTTGCACCATTTCTGGCAGACAACGCAAGTCAAATTTGTTCAAAACTGAGACAGTAGTGTGCAGGTGCAGGTTTCAGATTTAGTTCATGTGTAATACAGACAGTAAATTAGGGATGTACCGATCCATCTTTTTCTTTTCCAGACACCAATTCAGATATATCAACTAGGGATATCTGATAATACTGAGTACACATCCCCTGTCACTGCTCTCTGTTTCCCTTACTGCTTGGAATTCTGTGGAATAACATTTATATAAGGTAGTATGACCAAGAAATGTTGTGGAGCTTTAAACTGAGTCGGACGCTGTGAATGAATAAATGTAAATGATAGAGGAAAGATTTGAAATTTGTATTGACAACGATAGAGAAACTGTGTCTTGGTCATGGCTGATACCTGATCTACTTAACAAGGTCAGTATCAGACCGATACTGACAGTACATCCGCACACAAAATAGAATTATATTGTGATTTTTTTTTAATAATATTTAATTGATGTATGGGTTGCAATAAAATAAAAATTAATGTCACTGATATAATGTAGCAACTTCCTGAGAAGGAAGTTTTAGTGAAAATTTATTTGATGTTTATGATCTGTCAAACTTCCTCCCCTGTACTTTTCTAAGCTAATGGTAACTAATACCTGATGGTTCAGAGAATGCAGAAGTGTTCATTAGCATCCGTTGCAATGGCTGGTGTTTTGATAAGTACCTACACATATCAGATGAGCTACTGGATTTTTTGGCTGTTTGTTACTGGCGGCTGCGTGGGTTCTGTTCGTGTTCAGAAGAATCATGCTGCCTTCCTCTCTGTCTCTCCCTTTTGTTCTTTTCACTTTCACGCAGACAACAGGAACCAGCCTCACAGAAAGACAGGACTCGATAGACAAAGACAGCAATACAGAACAACAGTTCAGCCTCACTTCTAGCACTATGCCCATCTGACATACAGCTGGTAAGTATGGCCTCATCTTTGTGAGGACAACTTGTTTTTCAAGATGTGATGACAGCATTGTATCTGTGCCTGCGGGGTTGTAGGCTAACTGATTTTTAATCACATTAGCATATGATTAGAGTTCAATGCATCACAGTTTTAGGAGCAGACATGACTGTACATTGCTTATTGTGTTAGACACAAAGGAGTGTAGGTAGAGTCCAGCAAATGATATAAAGGAAAGTGTTTCAGACTCGACAACCTTGGTGACTTTGTTTGTAAAGTTTAGTTGTAGATGATGTGTGGAGTTGCAGATGTATTTAGAGAGTGTATTTTTGAACGAAGAGATAATAACTGATTATTGGGACACTTGCATGTGTGTCTTTTAAAGACCCTGGGTTGTGTGTTAGCGTGGTAAATATAAGCAAGACTTCCAATTGATATTTTTACATAATTGCAACTTCAGACTAAAGGACAAGACATGTACACAGTAGGTATTAGGCTGGGAAGTAAGGTAATTACAGATGTATGACTTTATAAACAACAGACAGACTTAGACTTGTAAACACAGACTGGCTGTTGCTTCCAGTGCAATTATACACTGCTGTCAAACAATGTGAGGGAAGTTGACATGATGTAGTGCTGTTTGTTCTTGGCTGAGCAGAATGGAACCGTAGAAGGCAGCTAATGGTTCTTAAAGTACAAAAAGACACACACACACACACACACACACACACACACACACACACACACACACACACACACACACACACACACACACACAGGCCTGCATTGTCAAGTACACAAGGGATCCCTTTGCTGGCCTTCAGTATTCTAAGCGACTCCTTATTTTTCATTACTGTGTCTCAGTATGCTTTTGGCAAAGAATAGTCTCTGGGGTGTCTCAGCTCTGGGCAGAGGAGAATATGTGGAATATTAAAATATCACCCTAATAAGAAATCATTCACAGTTGAGATTTCAGTCTGTCTGTACAAGAACTAGACACTAATTTAACATTCATGATACATAAAATTATTAAGCACTGACAATAATCTTTTCTTGTGTTTCTGTCTGTATAGTCATGTGTAGGCTCAGACTGGGATATTAAAATAGATATGTGGATATTCAGTTTGTGTTTTTCCAGATACCATGAGTGACACTTTGTGAGTAGTATCAGCGATACTGAATGAAATGAATAGTGTCTCATGAGCAAAGGTGCTACGACTGTTTACAGTCACTTAAAGAAGACAATAAAAATGCAGCTTGTGCAACTTTCAGTAACTGATGCTCATGCTGAAACTATTTATTGATTATTTGCTTCACCATAAAGATAGTGACAATGTTGAGGATTGATTTAATCATTTAGATCATTTATCAAGAAAACAAACACATTTTATAGATACAGCTTTGAATACCTTTTTGTGTTTTGACATTTAGTAAGAGAGAGTTTTCAGATTGCACTTTGGGCTCTGGTAACTTATGTTCTATTAGTATTTGTCATTCACCTTTATAGATTTATATGGTACTCTCAATAGCCATGCTGCTGAGAATATACTATTATTAATGGATATACTATGAATATAGTAATATACTACTATTGATTGATGCCATATCACATATCACTATAGAAATATGGTGTCAATCAATAATAGTATATTAGTTCTCAGATACTCAGCATTAACAAATCCACTCAATGAAACACTTAGTACTCAGCTGTTTTGTGTGTTTAGAAAATGTCTGTAAGCTGTTGAAATCCAGTGAGAGTGTCTGCAAAGTTTCAGGATGTACATATTATTCTCTGCTAGCTAAAAGAAAAATCTAAAAGATTCCTTCCTGTGTTTAGTAGTTTAGTCCGGTCTGGACAGTCATTGAGTAGCGGTAGGTCATACTCTAGTATTGGGTGTAAGCTGTTTAGTGTTGTGGCTCTAACAGACAGCTGGCTTCTCCAAACCCCTTTCACAGAAGAGCTCTTCTTAATGCTCAGCCTAAGCTCCTTCTGTCCTGTCCTCTCTCGTGTGTAGTAAATGACAGACTGTGAAAGTGTGTGTCCATATGGCATGCACAGGCCTGCTGGGACAATAGCTGAACCTGTCATTACTTTCACCACCATTTCAAGTTCAACCATAACTAATTTTCTTGGGGTGAATTTAGCTTTGTAGTCAGGTCAGGAGCCTATCATGATAGAGTTAATACTTAAATCAACTTAATTCACCCAGTAGGTGGTGCTGTTGCTACAAGCTGAGTGATAAGTCTGCTTATGTATGCAGGTAATTATGATCAACATGTGGTGCAAAACTTACCCACTGTCCATATTTTGTGTGTGTGTCTGTCTAGACGGCCGGGTGGACTTTGCTGCAACTGAGGATGATGAATGATCTCCTGCGCTAGAGCTAGTGGGTGTGGGAATGATGGACCTCCCTAATGGCCAATTAAGCATCACCACCACTGCTGCAACAGTCTCTGAGGTGAGGCCACGCCCACTCGCTAGACCTCCACCCAGTGTGTTGTAAGATGCTAGATGAATGCACAAGTATCTTCTAACATCTTTCAACACAAAAAAGCTTTAGTGTATGATTACTAGGTGACAGGATGTTGTTAAGTGTTCATCCTGCCTGAACCATTAAGTCATCAAATTTTTCAGTGATTCTCTACGACACCACATTAGTCTGAGTTCCTTAACATTCTCAGACCTTTCATACCTAACCTCTCCTCTTCACATCATAACATGGTTCTTAACAGTGCATCCATCACTCTTTTTTCCCCTGATACCTTTTCTCAAATGTTATCTTATGATGTAACTGTGAGTGTGTTTGTTTGTTTGTTTGTCTCCTTTTCCAGAAGAGCAGCAGCTCAGAATCTCTCAGTGATAAGGGTTCTTCAGAGCTGAAGAAGAGTTTTGATGCTGTCGTGTTTGATGTGCTTAAGGTCACTCCTGAAGAATATGCAGTGAGTGAAGTTTATGTGTTTTCTTTGTGTATTTTAGAGCGTATCTGCCCTTGTCTGGTTATGCTGCATGTTGAGTGTTTAATGAAATGTTCAGTTTGCACAAATGTAATGTGCTGACTTGAGACAGGAGGAGATGGGATGAAAGAGGAGGAAATGGGGTCAGAGTTTGGATCAGTAATAATTGATGTTGTTTAGCAGTGCCAAGCAGACACTGATAGATTTCCCCTGACTGCCTCTGCGCCAATGTTCCATGGCAACTGTGAACAAACAGCAATCACATTGCTGCTGAATGAGGCTTACCTTGTTGTGAGGAATAATCTTGCTGAAGTTTTCCCATAACAACTGAAATAAAGAGTTTCCTTCGCCAGTAAAATGATTTTAATGCTTTTTTGTGTCTTGTTCTACCCTGTTCAACCACAAGAGGGCACTCTTTATCTTCTCTGTTCTATCTTCATGTCACATCTACCCTGGTGTAACAAAAAATTGTTTAAGGGTGTTGTTTGTCAAAGCCAGCATCCTTGGAATAATGAGTTGTGTGCTGTCACACCCACTTGCTTGCAATGACAAAGCCTCTCTTGCAAAAGCAATATTTTAATTGTTGAACTGTTATCTATTGACCTTAGATTTGACAATGTATGATTCCTTCAGTACACAGTGACATAGGTCTTAAATGGCTGTGTGTGATTTGGGCAAAATGCAAACTTTGTCTGTCATTGTGGCCTAAGACTAACAACTGTTGTGTTTCACCTCTTCCAGGGCCAGATTACGCTCATGGACGCTCCTGTGTTCAAAGCCATCCAGCCAGAGGTGAGCAGCTATCAAATCTGTAGAGAGAAGAGAGCGGTTGACAGCTTTATTTGGCTGTCATTTATGACATCTAGTGTGAGAAATCAAGTGGCACTTGGCATGTTTTTATTTTTTAGGCTGGATAGTGACATGTCTAAAATAAAAAAAAAACCCATGAATCAATATGCAAAATAAATCAAAAGGAAAATTTCTACATTTGTATCAATGCATTTATACGATTTGACTCTATCCATCTGCTGCCTTAGTCTCTCTGTCCCTCTATCTACTCTATTTCTATGCTGCACGGTAACCATGCAGTTATTATCTCAGCAGCAGCTGTGATCAGACCTCCCACGCAGAGACGCATATCACAGTTATGCAGAAAAAAAGCGTATCTGTACCTCACCCAGTCTTGCGCACCTTATCTGTCGCCTCAGTGAGAGCCAGTGCAATCTGATGCTTTTTCTCGTCTGGATTTTGAGGCCCTTCCTGACAGCAGGCGTGGATAACCTGTGTTTAAGGTTGGCCACTGTGGCCTTATAAAAGCAGGATACAGACCACAGCCCAGCGTGGTGTGGTAGAGCCTGCTATTGCACATGTGCAACACTTGTCTCATCTCAGCTAACACCAAACTCACTCCTTTGGCATAATATCACTCCCTGACACATGGTTTGATTTAATTTAAAGAACAATGTTATAGTGCAGCTTGACCTTATTGAGTCCCGTAAATTGTTTGTTGTGCCTGAGTAATGGAAAAAACTTAAGAATAACGTCCCTAAGTAGCTTCCATCAGGGGTTGTCTTTGGAGTATTGCTGTTTCTTCACCCAGAGGGAAGTCATTGATATCATCTGGACTCCAGCCCTATCGTCTTAACTCTACTGGCTACTGAAGGTTTTCATGAATGCAAACATGCTCCCATGTTCAGTCTGGTTTGACTGACTGACCGGCTGGGTGGGATTTAGAAGACTAATGAAAATGTGTCCCTGTATTTCAGTCTATTGCAGCAATTTGGAAAATAATGGGTGGAGAATTGAGAGGTTGGGGTGAAAGGGTGAGGATTGAAGGATCAGATGGGCAGGGATATGGTTTCACTTGTTGCAGAGTCCTGTGTTGGAGGGACTACAAGTGGGAACGAAGAATGATGCAGTTGAGAGTGAGCAAAAGGGCTCATTTTGGAAGGACTGTTGTGCTCATACTGGGCTGATGAGAAGATGAAGGCTGCAGTCTGGAGGGAGAGAAGGAGCAGATTGTACAGTATGCAGAGGGACCCAGCAGCATCCTGGCAGGGACAGGGTGCCCTAGCAAGGCTTTTCCTGGTCTCACTGTGCTTTTGTCTCACAACACTGGCTGAAAAAAAAAAACAAAAAAAAAAACACCGCTATGACTGAACTAAACTCAACTAGAGTTTCCACTGCTGTCAGTCTCACAGACACATGATGGGAAGAGCAGGTGTGTGTGTGTGTGTGTGTGTGTGTGTGTGTGTGTGTGTGTGTGTGTGTGTGTGTGTGTGTGTGTGTGTGTTGGTGCATGCCTGCTGTTTCAATCTGTTCACTGCCTGAATAGGAAAATATTGAATAACTTGGTTCAAACTTTGAGTTGTGCAATAGTGTTTTTACTGACATACAGCCCATTCTTGCCCTTTAAGCACCCTTTAAATGCTGTGAAACACTAAAATCTACACACTAAATTAGGGCTTACTGATAAATGGGGAACAGTTATGGACATAATTAGAGTTAAAAATATTTTCATTTTTGCCATATCACTTTCCCAAGATGGAGAGAGTGGAAAGAAGGCAGAGAGTGTGTTAGTTTCCATGACGTGATGTGTTGTAATTCTCATTTGTTAAAATAACTGTGAGGGAGTTGACCTTTGATTGGATATGATCTCTCCAGTGGAGTCTCTTGCTTTAAACTGACATGTCCAGATGTTCTTCAGAGGGTTTCAAGTTGACATATTTTGATTTTTTGCATAATAACAAACAAGAGACGAATCACATTTTCCACCAGATAGCTTCCAAGTGTTTCTGGTCTGTGGTCATACTGATCAAAAATGTCTTCACTGCACGCTTACAGCCTAGTTACTGCAGGTAAACTAAACTTTCCCTTTAGACTTATGACTGACTACTTGGTGCAAATGTTGTCCTCCAAATGACTTAAATATTCTGTTTTGATGTTACAGTTTTTTTCTGGTCTTTCAAGGCTGCGGTAATTTCCATAATAACTGTACTGACTACTTGAAATGGTTGGAAATGACCATAAACCAGCTATGACTTGGCCTGTTGGTGTCTATGTTTAAGATTTTATTTTTCCTCTCTCCATAAACACATCATAACTGTCTTAATATAATATGAATGTGAGTGTAAGTGAGTCTGTGAGAAAGACACTACCGTAGTTTCTGCACTGAGACTGCAGACACTATGATACTCTGAGACTGAGAGTCCAGACACTATTATGCATGCTCGTGTTTACAACATTTTACATGTGTATATAACACATAAACAGACACTCTGGCAAGAGACGAAAATATTGCCGCAGACAATATTTCAGTAGAACAGAGGAACTCATTAACTCAAGTTTTCCAGCGCTGACATGGAGCAGATGTATGGAGGGGAGCCGGAAAGATCAAGACAAACCCTCTGGATGAGGAAGAAAAGATAACTGTCTGTCACAATAGCAATAAAAGATAACATGAGAACTGTGGATGGAGACACCAGAAACAGTGTGAAGAGATGGGGTTGCGTCTGGCCAAATCCTCTGTGCAAGAGGCATGGACTATTCTCACTATCCTCTTGTCTTCCAAGCTGTGGAGATATATATATATATATATATAAGTTAAAAAAGTCATGAATAATAACAGGAGAGGCCAGTATTTCTAAATAACTCTTTAATATTGGAAAGGCCTCAAGAGAGTTTGGTTTAACAGATCAGAACGCTTGCCACTCTGACACAGTAAACTCCAGAGACAAACACAGAGTCTAAACACATCTGCTTTTAATGGTACGTAAGTGACAGCTCATAAGATGCTGCCATGCATGTGGATTGTTGTAATGAGCTTCCTTCATGTGATGGACCCTCGTCAGCACAATAGTCATAATTCTTGGCTGTGAGCAGAGTATAGAAAGATGGTGAAGAACTTGACAAAGCATGGTCAGCGTCTGGTGTTGTTTTGTGTGATGTGCAGGTACAATTGATGGGAACAGCAGAAGTTTTTTTTTTTTTGATGGTAAAATAATCTATAGTGCAGAGCAGACCGATGTTTAATCTACAGCCCTCAGCTGAATCGCTGATGTGTTTCTTGGCTGTTGGTTTGCAGAGTGAAATGCCATTAAAATGACAAGATGGATCAGAGAAAGGAGGGAAAAGGATGCAAGGGACTTGTAGCTAAATCTTTTTCTCTCATCTAAATTTACGATGCACTCATTCCTAATGGTTTGTAGCATTGATCGGTTCTGTTTATCAAGAGGGACCTGGATAGGATAGCTCACTATAGAACAGACGATCAGCTGATGAGGAAATTGATGTGTAAGTGAAAATAGGTTAAGTTTGGAAGAATTGTGATGAAATGAAAGACATTGGACTTATTCCCTCTTCATCTGTTTTTTCCAGTCCCAGTGGACCATTTCTAATTTTGTAATCAGACATGCGGCTGACAATCTACAATTGGATGTTTATGAAATAGAAGCTGAGAGGAAAAGAGAGACTGAGTGATGTAAAGGGACTTGAAAGGGGGGAGGGTTGCCTTTGTTTTTAACACACAGCCATGACAACAGCCAAGTAAGTAATTTAGTTGCTTTGGCTGGCAAGTTTTACTTCAGCTCTCAGGGAGTAGCTATCAGATTGCATTTTACATACCGCTGAGAAGTATGTCAGCTCCTCGCGTCTAAGCACCCAGCGCAGAAGTCCTCTGTACAGACTGAAAGTATCATGTGAGTCATGGAGGAGACAGTGACTTGTAGTGGGAGGCAGGTACCGTTTCACATTGTCAGGCCCGTCTCGCCCGCAGGCTTAACGTGTTACAGCAATGATTGTGAGATACAGAAACATTTATTTAAATCTTGTGCTTTCCGTCACAACTGTACCTGACATTGCATGCAGCTCTCTGTAGGGATTTGTAGTCTGCACACACAACAAACACAGGAGGGAATCGCACCTAGACTACAGCCTGTCAACATGACGGTCAGTACACATTAATCATGGTGAGAGGTGAGGGAAAATAATGTTTTGGCAGTGGAGACAGAAAAACCACACTGACAAGTTTTCCCTCGTTAAAGAGGATTTCGTCCAAAGTTTGAGATTCGGTTTCAAAAAAGGGTGCCAATGGAATACTGTAAGGTGTAGTGGAAGACTACATCGAACCAAATTATTATGTTTAATATCTCTTTCAGTGTATAACAGTTATTATTATGATGATATCATGTTTAGCAAATGCGCTATGAAAGTTTCATATAGAAACATGCCTAGTCTGATTTCACTTACCATGACAGATGGCCTTTACTACCAGAAGAATCACACACAGTACATGTACTAAAAGAGCTCCTGGGAAAGTAATTCTTTCCATGGTGTGCACAGCAAGGTAATGGAGGCTGCTGCTGGCTGCTTGTAGGTCTCTGCCAGGTTTATAGTTTATGGATGTCTGACTGAAACAACAATGCACTGTCATTTTTCCTTTTCATGTATTTTGTTTTCTTTTCTGTTTCTCTTGTGTTCTGTTTTTTTTTTTTTTTTTTTAACCAGAACAGGAGGGAATAGGTCTATCTGTAGACCAGTGGCATAACTTGGCTCTTGGATTAGGGTTCCTCTGTCTCGCTACGAGCTGAAGTACAGAACAGCAAGAGATTTTCCATTGCACTCTTTCCTGTCATTCTCAGCAAATCTATCTTCACAATCTCCTCTCTTCTTGCGGCAAACCTTCTTTCTCAGTCTCACTTCCTCCTCCCCTCCTCATCTTTGTTCTTTTTCCATCCTGTTCCTTACCTTTTATCAGCCCTTCCTGTCTTGGCCCGTGGCCTCTCTTTAATATTCTCTGGGACCCCAACACTTGAGATTTCCATTTACAGTATACACAAAAAAAAAAAAGCAATTGCTGTGGTATCTCACATGAGGTCATCGCAATTTGTGGCTTAGCTGCAGCTTGTTGTCATATTCAGCCTGTAATTCTGTTTATATCATAATCTTGAAATGTGTTTGTAACGCAGAGTGCAGTCTACACTTTAATTGAAGAGATAACGAGATATTGGAAAGGTCATTTAAAGTTTAGGTTTAGAGATGTTTTGGTGTGTGTAAAGTTTTGCTGTGGTTCATGTTGGACAGAGAATCTGATCTCTGTTGACATCTTTGGTTGGATCCAGAAGAAATCTCTTTACCCCATCACTTATTCATTGACGACTGCAACTAGGAATGTTGCAGTATACCAGTATTGGCGATAACAGTGATACGTAGAAAATGAAATATTCATATTGTGCTAATAATTCACATGTGATAATGGTCTTGTGGATCTTTTGTTTATCAGTTCAACTGGTTGTTTTTTTCACAATCCATTAATTGTTATAGTGTTTATTTTTGTACAGTTATAGTTATAGACTCTCTCCACCTCCCAACACTTGCATGAGTCCAATTCATTTCCCAAAGATGAATGACTGGTAGCATTGCCCCCCACCCCCCCACCCCCCTTCCAAAACTTTCTACAGATATTGTGATAATATTGTTATTGTGAATTCTTCAGCAACAATAATCGTGTAGTGAAAAACTGACATTGCGACAGCCCCAATTGCATCTTGTAACTGGAGGTGATGTCAGCTTTCCCTGACAGCCCTCATGTTAACCATACATACCCGACAGTGTAGATACAGCCAGCCTCTAGCAGCCCCATAGGACTGTGCTTTAATGAAAAAGCTGCTCAGCCAGACCAGCATGTGGAAATGACAGGCTGTCTGTGGTTTGGCAGAGCAGGCTTCATTTTTTTTAACTGCACTCTTTTACTGCAGCATTTAAAACCCTCTCCTTACCAAATCTCCCTCGTCAAAGCCTGTCTCCAAAGAATCAACCGTTTTCAGTGTTTTTTTTTTTTTTTTTTTTTTTTTTTTTTTAATGTTGCCTGTTGTTTGTGAGGCTTCAGTGTAAAATTAGACTACAAAGGCACAAGAAAAATTAAGTAAATAAATGAAATGAATAAAATAAAAATGGAAATAAAATTCCAATAGTTTCTGGAGAGGCTGTGGATCGGTTCCCTGCTGCTTCAATACACATGAGGCAATTGGTTATTACATAACTTCAGAACAATAGAGATTAAATGACTTCAGCTTCAGGCTGAGCGAGATGGACAGAGGGGTGGATAGTTAGATTAGAGGACAGGCCTAGGTGGTCCAGTGTTGAAGGATCAGTGACAGTTGTTGAAATGTTGTGGTCTTGTTGAGCGAGAGAGGTGTAGGAGTGTCTGCGTGTCTCCTCTTGGGTGTATCACCTACCTGGGTGGTCAGGTGGTGGTCTGAGCTGTGAGACACACAAACACCTCTACCTCCCAGTAACTATGGAACGTCTGTGTTTAAGAATCATCACCAAAGTTGTGTGGAAGTTGGAGAAAAGAATGATTGACATGATGGCAGGAAGGAGGAAAGCGCTTATTTAAAAAGGACAGATTTTAAATAAACGATGACTTCTCCTTGGTGAGACAGGCTCGCGTCTCCTACACGCTGGTTTAGCTACATCCTGCGACATGGACAACATGCTCAAATTCTGAGGAGGCTCGACACAGGCTTGTAAACCTTGTGGGAAGATGCTGTTGGGTCTTCTACAGTGTTTTTTTTTATGTCTTGATACTATCTCTTCATCTTCCTCCACTGTCCCCCTTTTTCCTATCCTTGTATCCTCATTCTGACTCAGGCAATATAGGTCCCGAGGCATCACCTCGCCCACGCACGAAGGTCTTCTTTTAACATCTGTATTTGATATTTTGCCTCTTTACCCCCGCTGGCTGCCTCTAACGACTCAGAGACTCACCCTTGAATGAGCGTGACTTCTTTTTGCAAGAAGACGTCCTGATGCGACCCAGGTCAGGGAGTTGTGAGCAGTTCGGTACAGGTTGTTGCTTCCAGACGGTCAGACTGTCTCACTGGGGGTATTGTGTGGGGGAGCTGCAGCTTGATTCAGTTGTTCATATTGTAGCCCAAGTCGGCTGGGCTGGCAGGGATTAGGAGGAGAACTTGCACAACATTTTTCCTACTGTTACGTCAGTGTCCCTGGCCTCTGGAAAGCCTGTGGGGGCCAAAGGAGGGTCTGGGTTTCCCTTGTGGTGTCTGTGTGGTCTCCTATCTTTACCTCATCACTGAGGACAGTGGCTGAGGCCAAACTGAGTTGAGCCTGGTACTGACTGCCTATTTGTATTTGTGTGTTGTTGGAATTTTCTGTGATCAAGTTCCAAAATCGCTGCCCTTCCTTTAATAACGTGAACTGAATTCACTCTCAGAACCGCTGCTTCCACAGCTGCTGCTACTTTGTAAGAATAGCATCAGGAGAAGTGCAGACATGAGACATTTATCAGCTTATTGACAGGTAATCAGCAAATTACAACTTCAGCAACTTGATCATTATTTTAAAGTTATTAATGAAATAAAATAAATCAAACAATTACTAATTACATTGCGGGTTTGTCAAATATGAAGATTTGCTGCTTCTCTCTGTTTTTTGTCAATGTAAATTGAATAACTTCATCTTTTTGACAGTTGGCAGAAATAAAATATTTGTTTATATTTATTGGTCTCTGGTAACTTGATGTGAAGAACATTTTTTATAATTTGACATTTTGTGGATTGAAAGTACTTCACTGTGGATTACTGAGGAGTTTTATCGTTTACATTTGAACTGAAATGTGTTTCTCAGCAAAGTACATTGTGTGTGTCTGTAATTTTACCCATAAGTTCTAACAAACATACATGAGTGACTCTTGCATCATAAAACATTTGTTTAAAAATGTTTTGAAATAGGCATTGTTTACATTCATTTGTGGTTTGTGTCTTTTCTTGTTTTAATCCGGCGTTGCTTTTACATGTTACTGCCACTGCCATTACCGCCGCCCTGTGCAGCTCTATTATATCACCTCTGTGCTCATGGGATTCATACGTTTCCTCATACACAGTAGAGCTTGACTTCTCTGAATTGCATTCAGATTAATCTATTCCTCAATAAATGAATGAATGAATCAATGTTATAATTTTGTTTAAAGATAAACTGTCAGATTTAGAATTGAGTTTCAAATTGCTTTTATTATGATTCATGAACATTTTTTAGAAATCTTTATTTTGGTTGCATAAAAGCTGCTGTGGGAATCTGAATGAGCACCGAGCTTCATACTGAGACAGAACTTGTTCCTTTATCACTTGCTTGTGTTTACAGTCATGTATGAATCCTTCTGAGCCTTAGACTGGATCCTGTCTTCTCCCTCTCTTTCTTCTCTTCATAGTGTTTCTCTCCTATATCCTGATCTCTGCCTCCTCTTCACTTACCACTGAGTGACCTCTGACTAGACTGTTGAGCACATTCAGTAAAATGCTGACGTAAACAAAAAGGTTCTGAAGATCTGTGCATAATATTAATTTCCCTGATTGTTTGTATGTTTTCAGGAGCTTTCAAGCTGTGGCTGGAACAAGAAGGAGAAACACAGCTCTGCTCCAAATGTCGTGGCCTTCACTCGCAGGTTCAACCAGGTGAGACACATAAACAGTCTGTACTTCAGTACTACCTCAAGTCTCAACCGAAAGGAGAGTCAAGAGAGAGAAAACCATTCCTCTTGCAGTGTTAAAGATTTATGAGCCTTGGCCATCAAGGAAGGGAGATATTACATCTCCTCTTTCCATCGTGTCCCCTTCTTTTATCCTCCAAGTGCCAAATCATCACCCTAGCTCTCCCAGAGGTGGTTGTTTTTAAAGCCCTGCTTGTCATGGCAGTTGCTAATAACCGCCACATCTCCTCCCTGCTAGTCGTATACATCATAACTAGTCCCCAAGTCAAGTCAAGCCAAGTCAAGTCAGAAGAAAGGTAGGATATTTAGTCTTTAGCTGGTTCTTTGCTTTTGGACTTCATGAAGTTATTAATGTGCAGGTTGGTGCACATTTCCAAATGTATGCAGGAGTGTGCATGGCATGCTCCCTCAGTGCCCTGTGAAATCATCAACAGGAAGTTGTGGGTAATGATGTAAGGGGCAGCCATGCCCTTGAATCACCTTCCATTGTTTTTGCCAGGCTCCTTTAAGACCCACTTTACTGCCCTCCAGTATAAATATGAGATGATCTAACAAGAATGTGTTGCTGTGGAAACTTCTTCATGTATAGCAGATCCCAAACGGTGATTCAAGATGTTAGCTGCACACATTTCAGTTGCTGGGAGCCAAGGAAAATGAGCTTTTTGGATAATAGGACTTGGATTGGGAGAGCAGAGAGTCCCAAAAAGCTCCTTAGCATGAGCTGTAGCCATATTCCTTCCTTCAGTCGCTGTTTTGCTGGCACTTCATTTTGGGAGCCAGTAGAGCAAAAGAAAAGTGGCTAGTCCGTTGAGCAGGCAGCAAGGAGAGAATAATTCAGAATAATACTGTACATTGATCATATAATACATATGATCAATGCACAGTAATCTCTTCTTGTGTTTTCTGCAGTGACACACCAGCAGCTTGTATAGTAGTAAAAAAACAATTGTCTATATCCAGAAATTGTAAGATGAATAATAAACAATTTCATGCAATGGTAGTAGCCAAATGAGAATAGACTGTATTCTCACCAGAAAAGAAGTAAAAAAAAATTTAAAGCAGAAAAATGTTTGATGCTGTCAAACTTTCAACATAAAAAATATCTTCATATTATATTTATGTTTCTTTATTAGTCACATTCTAGACATACTACAAACAGGTTACAAACATACAGCTACAGTCAATTATGCAACCAGATAACAGAAAATGACATATCTACTGCTCAAATGAGCATCAGCTTGATTTCTACAGTGCAATTATAAATGCAAATAAAAGCAGCATCATCAACTTATTCCAGCGCTACTATTAAGTATATAAATTCACTTTCTACCACTGAACAGCTGTTGGTAAATCAGGGCTCAGTCCCACCATCACCTCAGGCCTGTCGACCAGCTGTTGTCCCCGTTTTTGTCCAGATCTTCAACTCCATCCCATCCCTTCCTCCCCTCAGGCCATTAAATGGGTTGATCCACAGCTTTTGGCTGGATCTATCTGCTTCCGCTTATTTATGATTATTGAAGTGCTGGAGACTCGCAGCTCTGTTCTGGCGGCCTTGATACGCTCATAAACACAGCCCCCAAGACATGATCTTTGCTTCAGGACATGATATGACATCCATAAACACAGGACCCTGTCTTTGCAGCCCCTGTATCCCCACATCCTCCCTCAGTCACACAAACACATTCGTGTTTGCACCTATGTGGAGCACTGTCGTCATGACTGATCTCATCGTTGTGCAGTTTTGAAGGCCAAGGCATATGAGGACACATGCTCTGTGATGAACCCCCACGGCATAGTGAATTTCAGAGACATGCTTTGTCCAGATTGACCTCAGATATCAAGTTAAAACATTGAGGAAACTAAAAGTGAAGCTGCAGCATGTTTTTGCTCCCAGATTGGAATCACATTTTACAGTCAGTGGAAACTTCAGTCTACTGTACACTGGAGGGTGAAGGTATATGTAAATGTTTTTTTTAATCTTTATATTGCTGTCTGGAAGAAAAAAAAGTGTATATTAAAATGGAAGAGTTTACCATCCATGTATCTTCTATCCATTTTCTTACACTCCCTCATCTTCTCTCCATGTGAAATAGTAAAAATTAAACACATATGACTCTGGAGATACACCACCTGCATAGGTTGATTGATTGACTGGTTTGATGAGTGTATCATATGGTTAAAAGAGAAGGGGGGGGGGGTGAGTGAGCGAGCGAGCGAGTGGCTGGATGAATTTATCTCCTCACTCCTCGGCTCTTCCCTGAAACAAAAACAAGTTGCGAGGCTGTTTCCAGGAAAAAGAAGGAAAGTTAACTGTAGGTTAGAATTAGTGCACATCCAGAATGTAGATGGAGAAGCACACACACACCTAATTTATAGACGCACATGAAGCACATCTAGTGGTCTGTGGCTTTAATGGAGGAATGTTGACCACACAGACAAAGTCAATTAATCAAGCGCGAACAGCAGAGAAGAATGGGCGAGGAGCAAAGTAGAGACTAGTTCAGAAACTGAATGAGGTGAAAGTATGTCTGTGTTAGAGTAAAAAGCAGAGATGGTCAGTCTGCCTGTCTTATCAGAACACAATGTGCAGACAGCTGTGGGCTTTGAAAGCCCTCAGAGCCCTGTGGCGTTGACGCTAACTTCCCCTCCCATTACCTCCTCTTTTCCCTCGCTGTTCTCCCTTTTCCTCTTTCCATTCCCTCTGTCCCCAGTGGTTAAACACTGATTGATTCACTGACTTGTCCGTGTGTGTACGTGTAATCAGAACTTTGGCTTACCAGCATTCTCCCTAGAGACAGATTTCCGACATTACTCTCGATCTGGCCAAGTACTCTGAACACACACATACACACAGTCCTGCTCCTTTTTCAGTTGACATACCAGGAGTTATGGTGTGTATCTGTTGTGTAATCAGTTGGAATCAATTGGATTCTCCTGTGAAGCTCTTGTTTTTTTCTCAAGAACTAATTTCTAATCGACTGTAATGGAGCATTCCCATTAGCAGTCTGTCCAGTGCTCTCCTGCTCCGCTTTATACTGATTTTAGTCCAGAGTTGTCATGGATGTCTGCAGGCCTTGGCTCTGGTCTCAAAGTCTAGAGATTTAACAAGGCAGAACTCCCTGTCTTTCTTTCTACAAACCTGAAATACTCATTGTTCTGTAAAAAAAAAGAAAAAGAAAAAAAAAGTAACATATGAGAGATGAAGTTTTCCTCAGTTTTGCTGTATCCTGCGTCTGTTTTTGGCGAGTTTGTGTCGCTCTGTGCTGTAATCTCTTTGTGTGTGTTTTCATCTAGACGAGTTTTTGGGTGGTGAGAGAGATCCTCCATGCGCAGACGTTGAAGATCAGAGCGGAGGTGCTGAGTCTTTACATTCGCACTGCCAAGGTACACACGTTTACGCACAACATGACACTGTTGTTCTATCCTAATGAATGTTTGCAGTTTAAACTCAATTTGTACGCTCGATGTACTCTTAACTTTTCAGAAACTGTGTGACATGAACAACCTCCATGCGGTCATGGCTGTCGTGTCAGGGTTGCAAAGTGCTCCCATCTTCAGGCTTACTAAAACATGGGCGGTGAGTATGTTTACCTTACTGTGAAAGCAAGTTTGGTTTGTTAGTACAGTACCGTCAGTAAACAGGGATGTCACACGGATCAGTGCCAAAACACTGGACACATAAACAGAGGCTAATAAAAACATCAATGTCATGACGAGATGAAAAGGAGAATTTAGGACATTTAGAATTTAAATTTACTCACCTTCATTAGATAAACGGAGAGTAGATGAGTTTAAGAGATGGCAGTGAGTTTAGTGCTGCACATTTGTTCCTGAGAGAAATACCTGGCGCCTTTGTGCAGATTGGATCAGATCTTGGCGTGGTCGGCGCTGTAGACCTTTTTATACAGGAAATTTTGTATCAGTGTCCAGTTTATGAATGTGTGAGGGGCAGCAAGCCTGTGCCAGTGTTCTTGCTGAAGATGATCTTCCATAATGACATAATGAGGCTCTGATGTAATGGACCACACACTTGATCTCTGCAGCCATCATTAGTACGTTCTCATTGTTACAAGCCTTTAAGTTATGTCAGCAGATCAGCTGGACTGTGGTCTGAGGCTTCGCTACCGCTGCCATGGTCTGTAAGTTAACTACTCTGCAGTTTAGCATCTGTAGCTGTCACAAGCTGACATATGCAAGCATGGAAAGCCGCACACTTCTTTTCTCTGTCACTGGCCTGGTGTTCATTGAAGTGTGAGTTTTAGGGTAGTCAGTGTATTAAGACAAATTACCTGTGAGAGGAATTTCAGAAGCTTCTTCCCTCTGAGAAAATGTTTTGGCACGGGCTTCCAGTTTCTTTCTAACACATTTGCAACGGTTGTAGAGAATACTACAACATAACTGCACTTTACTCTGACACTGACGACTGTAAATGAGTGCAGAATACTACCAGGTATTTGACTTCTTTATCAAACAAGCCACAAATAAAAAATGTTAACGGTTAAGGATTGACTATATCCACTTGCCATTTTGAAATTGGTGTTTTGTCTACTCTTGTCAAAGGGTGACTAAAGATTCAGAACAAGTTGTGAACTTACAGCCTGCTGATAGTTTGTCACATCCAATTAACCAGCAGCCAGTGTTCAAAAAGAAAACTGTGTAAGCCGATTCTGTCTGTCGTGGAGCATTTCTCTCCATTTCTGATTCTCTGCATTTTCTTATGTGTTTATACAGATACTTATGTTGTATTTCACATTTCACTCACTCCGATGACTTAAACAGCAAATGCAACTTCAGTGAAGTCATTTTTATTGGAAAACTTATTCTCAATTGTATTTTTCCTGTTGCTAACATGTTATAGTCTATTTAGATTTCATGGTCTCTTCCTCTTCGCTCCCTTCTTCTGTTCTGTTCTTTACCGCACAGTTACTGAGTCGGAAGGACAAGGCAACGTTTGATCGACTCGACTACCTGATGTCCAAAGAAGACAACTATAAACGTCTGAGAGACTACATAAGCAGCCAGAGCATGGTCTCTTGTATACCATACCTAGGTAACAAACACAAACAGACATGCACACACACACACACTCGCAGACCACCACATGATCTTTGGTCTTTGAAGGATGCACTGATGTTCCTTACTGTCAGCTTCTTATCTTTGTGGGCTGCTCACGGGATAAAGGTTGATCTGAGGACAAATGTCTGGGTTTAAGAACCAAACTGCCTCTGGGCATGTGTTTGGTATAAAACAGGAAATGAGAAGTGTTTTATTTTTCCTTATCTCATCTTATTATCTCATGTATTATTCAGTGCCAAAGTCATCAGTCAGTCATGTTTATTGTCTGTAGTTCCCCTTCTGTTTTCATTCTGCTCTTTTTGTTGAACATATTTTTACTGCTCTGTTGTGAAACATCTCAAAGTTCCTCTCAGCTGGAACAAACACATGAATCAATGAGGAAAAAATAATATTAATGTCTTTTTCCTTTCCCTCAGTTTTATACTTTTTTTTTTTATATTCTTTCTCTGACTCTACAGTATGACATCACACAGGAATCCCTTATGAGTTGTGCAAGGAAAGTGCTCATGCCCATGTGTGTGGTTTTATTGCTGTACTGTTTGTTCTTGTTTTGACTTGATGATGACTGGATGACTTTGAACTTCTTTACTGCCACAATGTTTTTTCTCCAACCATCAGGCTCATATCATAGCTACTGCTGTGCGATTTCGAACTTACACGCTCAAGTATGTACAAACAAACACAGACACGAGCACAAACACAGAGAGCTGGAGAGTCTGTTTGTCGTTAAAGAAACTTTTAACCACCCATTTTCCCCAGCATCCTCCGTCATGGAAGTCTAGAATTAATGACAGATCATGAAACCAATGCGAAGCTAATGTCGTGAAACGGCACACATTTGCCAGCTAAACTGTATGTCCTCATTGTGTGTGTATGTGGATAAGAGGGAAAGACTTTCCATTTGGTAAGCATTTCAGTGATGATGTGTGACGAGTTGGTCGTTCCTAGGGTGGAGTCTTTGTATTCGAAGTCTTTGTATGAGTATGTGTGAGTGGGATGGTGTTTCCTTACAGTCTGAGCTTGTCAATGATGACTGTGGATGTGTGATGTGAGACCAGCTGGCTGTCGTCAGAGCTGGACGGAGCCAAGTTGGCACACAGGAAGGAAATCGCCACTCTCTTGTTCTCAGACATTCCCCTCTATCATAAATCCACCAGATCCCTCTGAGAGAAAGTAGGAATGAATGAGTGAGAGGCTGAAAGCCACAGTGCTGGTTCCAGAACATCTCCTCCAACATGAGTGGCGTGCGTGCGTGCGTGCGTGCGTGTGTGTAATGGGGTTTCTTCTGATGCGTTCAAGCTTGGATTTACCTCTGGTCACTAAACAAAGTACCTGTTGATTCCCAACCCACAGCAGAGGGCTAAAATTACCATGTGTGTTTTTCTACTTGCTAAATACACCACAGGCGGGTTAACTTCTACAATGTGTGTTGGTGTATATGTGCCACTACGTTTTTCTATCATGTTTCTGTCTTTGCCTAATTTGCATCTTTGTAGGTGTGATGCTTATCTCTGGTGTTAACAAGGCTAAAGAAAGTACCCTGTGTCTGCTGTGTAGTCACTAAGTCTTGTTTTTTGCACAGTGATACATTTGTGCTAAGATCTGTGTGTGCGTGTGTGTGCGTGTGTGTGTGTGTGTGTGTGCGTGTGTGTGTGTGTGTGCGCGCACGCGCGCGCAATTGAGTGAACTCTGACCTGCTATTTGGCTCGGCAGAGACAGATCCCTCCTGTCTGTACTCGCCACAGGGCCAGTCTGTTAAATGTTCAGATGAACTTGTTCCTGTTCTCTAGCCAATCACGCAAGAACAAAGAGCCCACAGAAATATATGGCTCCGCTGTGACAAAACGCACACACTTTAAAAAAGTTTCCCCAACTCGTTATCCATTCACCTTGTCTACGCCAGCCACGTAGCATAAGCAGAATAACAGCAGTAGCTGCTGTCCCCCATCTGTGTACACTGAGTTGGCTCAGTCATGCACTACTGTGCATTCAAGTGTTTGATACTGTTCACAGACAAGTGTAAGTGGAGAAAACATGGATTTGAACCCTAAAAGGTGATGTTGGTCACAATTGTTGGTATGATATAGAAGCTGTTGCATAGCTGATACTTGGACAGGGGAAAAGGGGGTTTAGTGCACATTCTCAGACAGTTTCGCCTGGAAGATTTTTGTAGTGTTGCACTCAGTTGTCCACATTAGAACATGTGTGCTAGATGAGAGAAAACACAACTGAAACATGTCCAGTCTAGACAGGGGATTTACCATTACACTTTTATGATTAGTGTGTTATTGAGTAAGGAATTTTTAATATTTATGACGGTACCAGTTTCATTTTATCATAGTTATGAATGTGATCCTGTGCTAGTGAAGTGTTATTTGTTCTCTGTCAGTGGAGGAAGGGTCAGATACAGGCACGCAGGACCTTGACTTTCTTCTCGTCTAGCGTCCTGGTGCTTTAGTTGTTGGGATAGCTGTGGGCTGCAAGCAAAACAGTGTTGACTAACCAATGGAAAGCACCAGCGGTAAGATGTCAGAAAAGAGATCAGAAAAGCCAACCAACCGACTGACTTTTTTTTTCTCTCCTATGATAGTAAATAGTCCTGTGTGTCAGGAGCTCGTACAGCCAGGCAAGACCTGGTCTGGCCGGGGCTCTTGGACTGCATGAATATATAGTATTTCATATTTCTGACGCTTTTGTTGGCTCACTGAGTGTGTGAGTATATCAGCTATGATGCGTTGACTGTGTGTGTCCATTAGCTTCTCCTTTGTGCATGTGTTTGCATCAGACAAACACATGCTCCTTCTCTTCCCTAGCTATCTGTCTGTCTTTTTATCAGTCTTACTTTCACTCCGCTTCTTTCATTTTAATCTAAATTCTTCTATAGCAGCGTCATTTAATATCCTCCCTGTTATCTATTTCTGTCCGTACCTTGACATAGTCCAATCTGTTCTCCGCAATCTGGCTTTTTCCGCTCACATATTTCCTTTGCTTTAGCGCTCTTCCTTTCAGAACAAGAATAATGGGATTTTAAAAACAGTCTCGCACTGTGGTCACACTTCATTTTTATTCTCCCCATGTTCTTTAATTATCAAATCCCCTTGACCTTCTTCAGTGCCCTAATGGCTTGGAATGCACTGAAATCAGATCAAAGAAATTTGAAGTGGTTTGTTTCAGATGATTGTATCATCCTTTATACGGATAGAGGCTTAGCTGATATTTTTCATACTATAATATTTAAAGTTTCACATTCATAGTGAGATTAATTTTTTGTAAAGGAAAGGGTCACACTTTTATTCGTTTTTGTTATTCATTAAGATGAATCTGAGTGAAGACTGAAGGACAGTGCAATGTTTACAAAAAGAATTTAATTTGACTTGGATGAAAACTGACACTGCATGTCACATACTCTCAATCCTCAAATCAGCTAGACATCCACTTTGGATTTGTTGTGTCTGCTATCTGTGTGTGTGTGTGTGTGTGGTGTGTGTTTGTGTGTGTGGTGTGCATGTGTGTGGTGTGTGTGCATGAGCGTCTGTTCAACTGTTATTAATGTATTTCTACATGGGATACAAAAAATATTTAGAATTGTATTGTTACAGCGCTAGATATAAAATGGCCATGGCTATACTTACTATAAATACACTGATAAATAACAAAGACTGGCAGAGTGACAACATTGTGAACATTTGGCCTGAGTAGAATCACACCTCTTAAATTAACTTTCACAAATAAAGCCAAAGATATTTACATACCAAAGCCAGCTCAGCCATAAGCACATTGAACAAGCACATTGTCACATGAGTTCATTTTTGTTAGGGGTGAAAGGAAACCCCACAAGTCCAGACAAATCCCAGAAACAAGTACACAGTAGGTTCATCAAGGCCTGTCCTCTAAGTATTTGTTTGTCAGGTATTGTAACTGGTAACACAATTTTGAATTGCATTATTTTTCATGCTACTAGGGTTTAAACATCCCAGTACATCCAGTAGCCCCTGGCATGGGCAACACTACCTTCAAAAAGGCACCATTAGCTGCTCGGAAGAAATGTCATGTCTGTAGTAAATTAACATTTCCCTTTATTACATACTGAGTTTCAACAAGAGTGAGTAAAATAGGACACTTGTGAGTAATACTGAAAGGTTCCAGGGAGGTGGATGGACCATTACTGTCCAGACTGAAACATGGAGAAGAGCAGTTATTTATAGAGGGCAATGGCATCAGTCTTCATTTCCATGTTTGAGTCAACCTTGGAGCTAGCCCCTGCACAGACTGTTGGAGTGATTATTGTCTGGTTATGAACACGCGCCACTGTCCCTTCCTCCACTGTCTTTGACGGGGCACAGTTGAACTACGGCAGGGATTCCTGGTCCTGCTTTTACAGTATTTGTTTATGGGTAGACAAAGATAAGAAAAGAGACTGAGGTGCATTTGAAGGGTACCAAAGTTCAAGATCTCAATCGATCGGTCGGATCATGAGGCGCACTGACTTAAGGGAGTAAAAACCTCCTCCATAGTCTGCCCAGAAGATTCCATCCTGAAATTTGCTGCGGTAAACTCCCCCGCTGTACCATACGCCATTCAGGTTGGTCTGGCCACAGGCATTGTACCACCAGCCACCCTTATGGAAGTGGGCGCAGTTGCCTAGTGGAGAGGGACATAAGATCAGAAGACAAGATGACTGTGATGGACAGACAAAGTGGGAGCTTACCCTCTGTTGTGTCAGTACAGTGCAACTAATATAAGAAATCCAAATGCATTTGGAGCTCATCTAGCTTCCACCCTACCAGAAAATGCATCCTTGTCACGATCGAGTGTGGTGAACTGTTTGCCGTTGTGACTGCTGAAGGAGTCCCCAGCGTTTCCCTGGTAGGTGCCAAGCCTCAGCCTGTAACCCTCGCTCTCTGGCTCCAGGTGGAAGCTGCTGTACTCGGCGTACACCTTCTTCCCTGTCCAGTCCTCCAACTCTATCATCAT